AAAAGACCATACGGTGTTACCAAGGATATGTAGAAACCGGAAACATACATTGATGGTATGTAAAATTATACAGCCACTTTGAAAAACCGCAATCTCTTAAAAAGCTAAACTTAAATTCATCATCCAATCTAGCAACACCACTCCTAGGTATCTATTCAAGAGAAATAACAAACGTCTACACAAAAACTTGCAACGTGAATGTTGATTGTAACATTATTCACAATACCCAGAAAAGTGAACAATTCAAGTGTTCATCCACTAGTGAATGAATCAACAAAATGTGGTATATCCATACAATGGACTACTAGGCAGCAATAAGAAGGAACTACTGATGCATTAATACAACATGGATGAACCTCAAAAACCTGATGCCAACTGGAAGACAGATGCAAAAGACTAAATATTGTGTGATTCCATTTATATTAACTGTCCAGAAAATGGAAATCCACACAGAGAAAGCAAATTAGCGGTTGCCCGAGACTGGGGATCTAAATAGGGACTGACTGTAAATGGGTACAAAGGATCTTTTTAGTATGACGGAAATGTTCTAAAACTGGGTTGTAGCAATAGTAGCACAACTTGAAATTTAAAACCACCAAACTGAACACTTAAAAAATGGATGTTATGGTATATAAATTATACCTCAATAAAGCTGTTGGGAAAAAAATAGAACCAAAGTACTACAAATGCTAAAGTGATCATACTGTCTGGGAAGAGCAGAGCTATAATAAAAGTGCACATTTTTATAGGAAAGTGTCAAAAAATTAAAATACAGCAAGTATATAATTTCCAAATCAGTAGAGAGAACGGGAAAACAAAAAGCACTTCATCTGAATAGTAGTAAAGGGCGTTGTAGGAAGGTGATAAATAATCAGAGTAAATTGAATGCCCAAAATAGTAGAGTAAGTCCCAATAAGAGTAATTACAGTAACCCTAAACTAAACCTGACAGTTATAAAACATTGTCAGAGTAGGCTAAGAACTGTTTACACTAACATTATAACATCACTACTATGGGCATCTATGTATACACAAAAAGACAAAACACAAAAATATCACACACACAAAATGGAAACGATTATACTAGAAAAATATTTAGCTATATCAATGTTATATGAAATACGTTAAGGCAAAAAAAATTATCATTAAGGACAAGGAGAGTCACTATGAAGCCACTGGATTATGAATATACTAATTCTGTACTTCCATGCACATAATGCCTAAATTCGTATTTAAAAAATGAAGTTTCTCAATGAAATACTGTTACACCGATTACTTCTCTTCACATTTTTCCTATTCTCTATCTACACATTCCTTTCTTTTATGCATATGGCCAAATAATATAGTTGAAACCACCTCCATTCCAGCAAGTCAAAATGAACTCTCTTAATGTGTGAAGTTAAGAAACAGAGCAGCTTTCCAATTTGGGTTTTTAAAAAGGTGACCTCACAATTAGTAAGCGAGTATTCGGATATTCTACAGATCACATATTTCCTCATGAGCTACGTGCCCTTGTTTAGAGGGCAACAATTCACATGTCAGAGAAGGGTGTTAAGAGTGCTGATTATGGAACAAACTGCCTGGCTTTAAACCCCAATTCCACCACTCTAACAGCTGTGTGACTTCAAATGTTGCTTAGTCTCTGAGTTAGTCTCCTCATCTCTAAAATAGAGGTGATTAAAAAAAGAAAAAACAAAAAAACACAGTACCTACCTCACTAGGCTGCTACGAGCATTACATGAAATAGTCCATATAAAGTATATGGAAAATGCTTGATACATAGTAAGTGCTCAAAAATATTATTTAATTTTTTACGATTCATCAGGTAAGGGAACTACAAAAACTTCATATCCTAATGATGTTCCTATAAAATGAAATTAAACTGAGAAAACACTGTAAAATGTAAAAACTCGACAATACTGACCAACGGATTAAGCATATAAACCATAAGTATCTAGTGTAGTTGAAGATTTCATTTAACAGGCATTCAACTGAAAGCCTATATGCTATCACCGAAAGAACACACAGATAAAGATTAGTATCCTTGAAAAGCTGTTCCTCAGAAGAGAAAAACAAATCAAATACAATGAGGTATCTGTACTTCTGAAATTTGGAAATACTCCAATGAACACTTATTATAAATTATATGCAAGACCAATTTCCTCAAAAAAGTAAAAGAAATAAAAAATATAGAAAATGAACATGATCACTATATGTATTTAATATTCCTTAATGATTCTGAAACTCCTTTAGGACACTACAGTGTCCCAAAGATATTATCAAAGAATCATCAATGAAATGTAGATACGCAAACGTGTTAAAACTATGTCTTCAATAAGAGAACAAATAACATTCAAAACAGACCTTATCCTATGTTTAAAAGAAATCACTGAGTAATTGTGCCAATGGCCCATCAATCCTACTTCTAGGACTCTTGCCTTGAAGATATAGATACACTGAAGTTACTCATTGCATCATCACTTGTAACTGCAAAATACTAGAAACAGTGCCCATAGGGAAGTGCCAAATAAACCATGTTACATCTACACAAGAGAATACAAGATCTCTGTTAAAAAAACAAACAAAAGAACAAAAGAAGATCTCTATAAACTGACATATGGTGATTATCAGGGCATACTATTAACTGGGGGGAAAAAAAAGTGCAGTGGAGAAGTTATACCTGTCATCCTCATGCCAGAAAGAAAGGAGTAAGAAAATACATATGGATGTATTTGTGCTAAAGAAATAAAAAAAAAATGAGATGAGAAAATAGGGATTGGTTATACACAGCAGGTAGGTGGGGAAGTGACAGAAAGAAGATGGGACAGGAAACGGGGAGCCAGGAAACAAGGGGCTGTGCCACTTCTCTGTTTTTACCTTTTTGCAGAGTTTTAACTGTTAGAAGCACACTGATGTTCAAACACCCTTCACATACCACCAAATTACACCGTTAACACCAACAAGGATGTGGACAACCCAAAATGGAACACAAATAGTAACAAATGAACCTAACTGTATTACAAATACACAATCACGATGAAAGGAATGGGAAAAGAAAAAACACTAACCTAAGCAACTTTGGAAAAGTTTCTTGACTCATACTTAGCTAAAAAAAAAAAAACAAACATAAAATAGTGCACTATAGTTAATAAATGTGTTTCTCCTGGGGGTAAGGATTAGCACTCTGAAACTACTTTTATGTGTCTAGAAGATTTAAAAAAAAAAAAGGAGGCAAATACATTGTAGATAATAAGAGCCAGGTTTCTCACTGTTAGAGAAAGAAGTCACAAATAAGGAAAAACTGGAACAAACCCTGCGGCGTTTGATTAAAATCAGAAGTGTCAGTATAAACTTGTATGTTTTTTAATATATATAAACAAATATGTAAATGTAAACACATGCATTGGTTAGTATACATAATTTCCACAAGGAAAGGCTTCTAGCAATTGGCACCACAATGGCAATACACACACCCATATGAAAAATGTTGGTTTTTAAACAACTTTCTCCAATAAAAGGAGTAAGGGTTCCTTGGAGAAGTGGCTGATGATTTGAAGACTGGAGCAGGAAAAATACAAGATAAGCCTGTAACATTTTGTGGAGTCAAAATGTTCAAACAAAAATATGGAGATTTGTGAAAGAATTCAGGAACCAACTCAAAGAAGTTCCTAATGGTCAAATATAGAACAATTTGAGCAAACAAAACAATGGTAACTGGATCTTAATCCACAGAATATCCCAGTTTATACTGATATAAATAATAAATTAATAAACAGCAGGAAGGGGAATGGCACAGCTTTTCATTACAAAAGAATTCTAAGAGATAAATGTAAAAAAAATAAAGTACCCAGACATCTTGATGCTAATAAAGCATTAATGCTAATTAATTCTTGACAGGAGCACTGAAATAGCTTCACAGGAGCCCCTCTATCACATTAGATTACATTAGGGGGGAAAAAGGAGGAAGGATGGGGGACAGGGGAGGGGAGGGAAAAAGGGGGAAGGGAAGGCAGAGCAGTGTTAGGTAGGTAGGTAGAAAGAGCCAAAACAAGAAAATCACCATTAGGCAAATACCACAGTAATAACTGTTGCCAACAAGATCTGCCAATGAATGCAAATATTAGTGGGCTTAAGTTTGAGGAGGAAAAAAAGCATAACTACAAAGGAAAAGATAGTAACTTTATAGTGGAGAAACCTAGCAGACACCACTTCAACAAGGTTAACACTGAAATTCTGGACCTCTTGAAATGACACACTAGAATGCATCTCTGATATGAACCTCTTGATATGATGCATTTCTGTGGTATTCTTGCCAAAAATGCAAAACCTCATTCTAATTATGAGTACATCAAACAAACTCAAATTTAGGAGCATCCTACAAAATATCTGACCAGTACTCTTCAATATGTCAAAATCATAAAAGAAAACAAACTATCAGACTGGAGGAAACTAAGGAATTACAATAAATGCAAAATAGGATCCTAGAACAGAAAAACAACACTTAGTGAAAAAGTTGGTGAAATTCAAATAAGATCTGTAGATCAGTTAATAGTACTGTACCAACATAAATTTTCCAGTTTTAATCATTGCATTAGGGTTATACAAGATATTATAATATTAGGGGAAGCTGAATGAAGAGGTATATGCAAAATATACTATTTTTGCAATTTTTCTGTAAGTCTAAAATTTGTTCAACATACAAAAAAAACTTCTGCTATTGTTTTACAATGGTTTAAAAGAGAACACTTATGACCAGCTTCATTTTATCCCAGTGAAACATGAATTTAATATGAAAAATAAGGCTATAATGTAAAATTACAATCGAAACTTTGTTGTAAGACTGAAGAGGCCATGAAATGGGGCCACACCACTTCATTTAGTTTTCAGCAGAACATAAGAAAATGTTACCGAACACTTATTCTTTGCTTCTACCACCATCTTATTCTATGAGGGAACATCGTATTTGCAAGTGACATAAACTACATAAACAATAGGCTCAAATTATGAAAAATTATTTAATGACACTACTCTTGAAATTACATGCCCGTAAAGGATATCACAATAGTCCCACAATAAAGTTTGCTTCTGGGGGAATATCTAACAGGGCTCACTTGAATGGCAATTGGGGTCAGGACTCTTCTGTGTGTATGTGATGGTACTCTTGGTTTGGTTTGATTTTTGTGGGGGAATGGGCTGAGAGAAAACAGTTTTAACTAAAAATATATGCACAGTTGGTTAAAATTTACTAAAGAACAAATCTACATTTTTAGGCTATCTTTCAAAATCAGTCCTCTGTTCTGACTTATCCATTAACTTGTGGAGATTCAGGCTCACCCCCGTATTATTAAAATACATATTCATAAAACTTTTACAGTTGTGCTGTTCTAGTTACAAATAGCTTCTACTTTTCTAGGACATAATTTCACTTTGTTTAAGCAAGAATTCATTAAAGAAGCTATAAATAACTTTTAAATATTTAGCCATGAATAGAGGGTGGACTGGCATTGATGGCTTATTTTAGTACTAATGCAGAATGCTTTTTAAAAGCTACATTTCAGCATGCATCAAGCTAATGATTAACACTTGCAGTGTAATTTTCAATGTTAGAATAAATTTCTCTTTATTTTAAGGATTTTTGCTAACAGTCAATATGTTATTTCAATTATTTACTAGTAGGAAAGTAGCCTTAGAGAATGAAAATGTTGGAAAATTAAAACATAAAATTTCTTATATAAAAAAATCTCAGATTTTTATTTTTTTTTAAGCATCTACACAACCTTTCCTTCTCTCCCAAAATATAATTCCAGTTAAAAGTGAACACACCAAGGAAAAAGAATTGCCTATGGAATTACACGAATTCAAGGAACCACTGTGTGGTGCAGGTAGCATATATATGAATCAAAGACATTTCTGTATTCAATTCCGAATCATAAACTTCACATTTTAGAGATCAAGTTTCATAAAATTTTTACTTGAAAAAAAAAAAATGTTTTACAAAATACCATTCTTCTAATCAAAGAAACTTTCCCAGAGGGTACATGTAGCTTTCGGCCTCAGAGATGATAGAATGACCGTCAAAGGGGAGAGTTTTTTTAAATAGCCACCTAGCTGCAAAACCTACAAGAAGTAGATTTTTTTAAAGTGCCTTTAAAATGCTAAAGCAAGTAACATAATTGTTGAATCTATTTGAAATTTTTTAAGTTTCCTTAAAATGGTCCATATGGTATGCACAACTTCACAGCTGGTACAAAACTGCCTGTATTTAGTTCAAAACACAAAAACAATGCATATGAACAGTATTCTTTGAAAAATAATTCTAAATACTGCCAGTGCATCATAAGAACACTTAGACAACAGTATTGACAGTATTCAGAGAATTAACAAAACAAGCTGAATATTAAAGTATTCAAACATTTACTTTGATTTTGAATACCACTGATAACAGTAAGAGATCTTGCTGCCAAATGAATTCTGGATGCCTATTTCAAACTACACGTAACATATTTTGCGATATAGATTCTAAAGAAATGCAAAACTAGGTTCCAGGATGTAAACTCCCATTGCCTAGGCAGGCCCTAGTTTTTCTGCTGCAATCTGGCAGCTTTGAACTTTGAAACCCTCTTTGTAGTCTCTTCTGATACTTCTGACAGAACTTCTTTTCGTTCTGGAATGGTGGGTAGCACAGGATGAACCAGGGTTGGGTGTGGTGTTAAGGAGGGCGACAGAAATTCTTTTTCTATTACAGTTCCAGAAAAAGCCTAGAAGACAAAAGTCAGATTATGGTAACAAAACATAAGTAAGATGCCCACAAAATCTTTATCCTGTATTTGCCAATTAGACATTTCTTTTTGTTAGAAGTAAATTCTTAAGATTTTTGGATAAATACACAAAATACAAATTGTTCAAAGAACTCAAGTACTATTAAAATATATCTTAATTACACCACCAAATATAAGTAGATTTTTATAAGAAAGCAAAATGTAAAATGAATGTTTTATCTGGTATCAAACAAAAATGGGTACATAAAATATCCTCAACTTTCACACATTCCATTTATGTCCAGACCATGCTGTGGAAAATAATGTATTGAACTAAAATAAAACATGCTATTAGGGTGTCAAACATGAGCTGATGAATGAGCTATCCTATGGAGGCCATGCTGCCCGCTAGAGAATAGCTTACTTTCAGCAGTAGTGACATTTCTTAGGTGGTGTTCATTTATGGCAGTTACTTGAGAATTTTATTGAATCTTGACTCAATTTTATTTAAGATATCAGTGTGAACTGAAAAATTAAGTGCTGATACTAGTGGAGACAAGCACCTGTCTCAAAATTTATCATAATTCAATAATGAAAATCAGATGTTCCACCAAAAAAAATGATTCTTTTAATTTCAACTGGATGTCTGCTGGACTTAATCTGGCCAACTATGTGTTCAACTGAAAAAAAAGTAATGTGTACAAAATGCTGGAAATATAACCAATGATATATCTTTATATATCTTTTTATATAAAGGGGCACCTGGGTGGCTCAGTCAGTTAAGTGTCTGCCTTCAGCTCAGGTCATGATCGAGCCCCACATCCATTGGGCTCCCTGCTCAGCCGGGTGTCTGCTTCTCCCCCTCCCTCTGCCCCTCCCCCTGCCTTGTGCTCTCTCACATGCTCGCTCTCTCAAAAATAATATTTTAAAATAAATAAATATAAATGAATGAATGAATGAATGAATAAGATCTATAAAAACCAAGGAGTTGATATGGATTTTATTCTGAAAGTTTCTGGAATGAATAAGATCTATAAAAACCAAGGAGTTGATATGGATTTTATTCTGAAAGTTTCTGGTATTTCTTTCATCTTTTAAAACTCATTACATACAAAGTAAAATCTGACATGTAAACTTTCATGTATATTTTGCTTCGCTTTGTCTACCAAGAGTACAAATTTAGTTAAGACAATGTATCACCTGAATAGTTTAGAAAGCCACGCCCCTCCACCTTGCCCCACCAAAGAAACAAAACAAGAATGCCCCTTCCTTCCACAGTATTTCAAGAACTTGGGTGGAATCCAAGCTCTTAAAAGAAACCCAAAATCTACTTTCTCAAAACTCCTATTTTATCCTGATGAACATTGAGCCTTATATAAAAAATGCTTCTGCAAAAAGAAGACATTATTTCAGCATTTAAAGACACTGAAAAGGATATCTTTCAAGTACTTACCATATGCATGAACTATTTGTTTTGGTGTTCAAAAAAAAAATGTACAGCCTCTAGAATGCTAATGATAACAGTTCAATACAAAATGCAAAGCTAATAAGAATGAAATAAAACTAAGTTCCAGTCTTGAGCTCTAGCTATACCATGATACATTAAGTCCTTATAAAAACCTAATTTTCAAAAACTTAAAAATAGCAGAAGTCTACACCCATTACCTGTTTTTCTAATAGTATGGAAGACTATTAAATGAGATACTTTCCAGGGCAACTGAGATCATTGTACTGGGTGGAGGGGAGGAGAATATACTGATCATATATACTGTCTCTAAATGCTAATGATTTCCATCCCCAGTGACATTTAGTACAATTATCACCATTTCATTACTACTTAGTACAAGCAATAGTTTTAGATATGCTTGCTTATATATAAACATATATATTTTTAGATGTATTTGACATATACACAAATGGGTACATCACTTTGATACAGGTGTGAGTGGGAACCTTATAAACTGAAAATCTGAAATACCCACAAAACAAAAACAAAAAAATTTAGAAATCATGCCTGGGAATAATGGCAACCATAACATATGACTATTTCAAAGATAGGAATTCTTATTTGGGATCTCCCAATACCCCTCCCCTCCACACACAATAGTGTGTGCAATGTGGTAGATATTCTTATCTGTAGAGGGGAGGATCTACAGCTTTCATTAAATTGTAAAACGGTTCCATAACCCCCAAGAGTAAATATGTCCCTGGCACAGGCCAAAACACAGGACCTCAGATAATTATCTGCCATATATATTTTTTCTTTAACGCAACTAAAGCATATAAAAGAAGTGTATAGTCATCTACTTGAACTATTCTAAAATGACTATGGTTTGGTCTAGTGGTAATTTATTTAAAGTAAGCTGCTAAATGATCTTCTAGCCAAAAATGTAACACATATGCAAACTGAGATACTTTAAAATTCCTACTTCACAAAAATAAAACTTTAAGATTGGTAATATTTTCCCCCTGCAAAAGTTTTCTTGAATTATATTAACTTTACAAGACCCTCATTTATGTTGGTAATGACTATTAATTTTTTATAAATTATTAATTATTGAAAAAGAACAAGCCTAGAATGAATTAGGTCCCATAATTTTTGAGATTAAATATATGTACAAACTAAAGAAGCTATAAGACAAACAATTCCATTAACCAGTTGATTAACTTCAATAAATAACGATGTAAGATAAAATCATTTAAAGAGTAGAAGACTAATAATTTATAAACCATACCTAGGAGATAGAGCACCTCTAATTTTTAAAAAGGCAGAGGAGAGTCTCTTTTAAAGAAATGTCTTTTCAACTCCAAAAATTATCTCTGTGAAATCGGGAAAGTGAATCATAGGCGCTTCTGAAATGGAGCTACCACCACCTTTTTGATCTCACAAAAACTGAGGAAAGATACTACATGACATAAGAGAGGCAGAGACACACACACACACCTCAGGCATTCCTGATAAGGACAAAAGTTTCTTGGGATGGTTTTCCTCTCGTTCCTCTTCCAAAATACTCTCACTAGTGTCACTGCAAGTGGCCTCCTCGCAGCTGACACTCCTCAGGCCTCCCCGCCGGTCGTCCAAGTCCGCAGCACTGCTTTCACTGGTGTCACTGCAAACACTGTTCTCTCTGCTGCGAGACTTCAGGATCGACTTGCGAGGCACGTACTCTCCGTTCACAACATCAACGAAGACTCTACAATATCCGAAAACATACACAGCCACTTTGGTAACTCAAAAACAGAGGATACATTTATAATGATTTAAAAAAAATCTTTCCTAGAAATTAATCTACAATGCTTTTTTGAAAGTTACATCTAAAATTTTCACAATCAAAATAATTTTTAGCTTCAAATGATGTATTTTATATTCTTAAAAACATGATTTTTTTGGCCTAATAGAGTACTTTTTTTATACCCATGTTCTGGGTGACACCTGATTTGCCAAAACTCCACATAAATTTAGGCCTACTTAGAAGACAATTTAGCAATTTTAACTATTTTACAAATATGGGTCATGAAAACAGTAGGTATTTTTAAATCGTAACTTTTTCAACAAACAACACAACAAAAAACTGGAACAGCAATGCCTGACTCCTGCTTTGTGAAAAGGTAAACCACATGCCAAGCATCTTCACAGCTATGGCAGAAAGTACTGCTCCAGACCACTAGAAACACAAACTTGTATTTCTAAAGTTAACATACAACATATTTTGACTGGATCGATTGGGAATGTTTTAAAAGCACTGGCAAAGAGGGGGAAAAGGGAAAGATCATGCACTTTTCCAAGTGCTTTCACCTGGGAACCTATGGTAGCTCAGTAGCCCCTGTGAGAGTATTTGAAATACTAAGCAACTCTATCAGAATACCTCACTTTTCAGTGATAGATAGAGCCTTCTGTATTACAGACAACCTCTTCCTATAAATGTTCAGTTACAAAAAGAGGGAAGGGAACAGCATATTGTTCTGCTCCCTGTGAATACCACTCACCTATAAATGTCAGCAGGAGTCCTGATAGTAGGCAGCTCTTGGGCAGAATGACCACCACCAGAGCTGTTCTTTCGTTTACGTTTAGCTTCTTCTTTCTTTTCACTGAATTTTAAAGTGGTATTTTTTCCAGTATTTATTCGGACCTAAAAATTTCACAGCATAAAATAACAACCCTTTTGAGAAATTAAATCAAAGTCAAAACTAAAACAAACTCTGTAAGTAAAGAAGAGTGACAGTTTAAATTTTTTTGACACTCATGAAATGATGTGCATTATCAGGATTAAAAAGTCCTTACCTTAACATACCTTACTACATTAAATTGTATCTTCTTTAATGACCAATTCTAGTCTTCAGTGACTTTATTATTGTATTGAAAGCAAATTACATTTAAACTAAATGATTCATTTATTATAAGCTTTCACATCACCCCATTACTTTGACGTAAATTTTTGGCTTAAATCATGCATTTCAAAACAAAGAGCACAATTAACCAAAAGAAATATTTGGTAAGAATATAAAATTTAGGTCATAAAAGCAATATTAGATAATATTTAACTATTTAGAATTTTTTAAATACCTCTGGTTTTTAGAAACTGAACTAAGAAAAAACAAACAAAAAAAAAACCCTGCAGGATTATCATGTTATTCTTCTATTCCTACTAGGCATTTATACTGCACTTTCCACATGAATGACTGCTCTTCCTCATAACATTCCTAAAAATACTACTCTTTCTTCCTGTTTTATCGACATGAAATAAGAATCATAAAACAAACTTTTTCTGGTTATTAGGTCAATTTTTTCCAAAGAATTCACAAGATGTTCCCTTTAGCCTGAAGTATTAAAAAATAAATAAATGCAATCCCTGAAGAGGTACCTTGTGGTACAAAGAGCACTACACTGACACAAAGGACTGTTTTATTACTAGCCAGCTCTATGGACTTCTAGGCCTTAAGTTTCCTTGAGAAAGATGAATTAGAAAGATAAATTCCCAGCTGCTCCTCAGAGCAGCATTGCGGAGCAAGGGAATGGGTTTAAGGTAGTCTATCCTTCCTCCAATCAGAACCAACCTGTTTTGACCTACTTTAAATACTGGGATTTTACAATAAGTACGAAGGGAATAAAAAGTCTTTTGATACTAAAGAAACGCTTACAAACCCTGTATTAGAAGATCTCTACAGTAACTCCCAGGTCTAAAATGCCAAAATTCTAAAGTCATGATTATCCACAGATGTTTATATTTACTTTATCAGAAAAGGAGCTACTTTTTACTTCCTCCTAAATTTTTCCACTTTGCTCATGGTGCTCCTATTCATGTTGTGCCCATACAGAAAATAAAAACCTGGCATAATTAAAAATGTAACAAAAGCAGTCACTTTAACATCCTAAGTACACCAAAACACCCACAATATAATTAACTCTCGAATTCATAAGAAAACTCTCTGAATGAAGGAGAGGTGGAGTTACAGTGGTTGCTGCTCAAATCTGATCCCTTTCCAGACCCCAAACAATTCAAATTCTATTGTGCCTTCAGAGAACAATGGACCAAAAACAAACTATCTAGATTTTAGACTCCCCCCTACCCTTTTTCTTTTTAGAAAAATTGGCCAGAATAAGAGGTAAAAGATGGTTTTCTTGTTTGGCACTATCAACAATATTAATCACTGCTGACACTGTTCTTTTTTTTTTTTTTTTTTTAAGATTTTATTTATTTATTTGAGAGAGAGAGAGAATGAGAGATAGCACGAGAGGGAAGAGGGTCAGAGGGAGAAGCAGACTCCCTGCTGAGCAGGGAGCCCGATGTGGGACTCGATCCCGGGACTCCAGGATCATGACCTGAGCTGAAGGCAGTCGTTTAACCAACTGAGCCACCCAGGCGCCCGACACTGTTCTTTTTTAAAGAGTATTATCGGGCGCCTGGGTGGCTCAGATGGTTAAGCATCTGCCTTCAGCTCAGGTCATGATCCCAGCGTCCTGGGATCGAGTCCCGCATCGGGCTCCCTGCTCCTTGGGAGCCTGCTTCTCCCTCTGCCTCTCTCTCTCTGTCTCTCATGAATAAATAAATATTAAAAAAAAAATCAAGAGTATTATCGATGATACTGAATATTTAAATTATATGCAAAATTAATAAAGTTAAAAGTATACAAACCCTCTTAGGTTCGACAGTATGAGAAAAATATATTGTTGGTATAGAATGATCTCCAACCCCTAAAGCATCATGGTCATTTTCATTTTCATTATCACCACCATCAACATCATCATCATCATCATCATCATCATCTTCATTACTGTGGTAAGAATTTGAACCGTTCATTGAATGAATGCCATTCATTTGACCACCAAACAGTTCTGAATGTGTAACATCCTTATAACAGCTGCTGGAAGTAACAGAGTCTGTTACTTGATGCATCACATGCACATTTATATTCTGATCTTCCTTTTCTTCTTCAGAAGACGTCGTATCCTCTCCATTTGCAATCATAGTATCAGGCTTACTAGTAAAGAAAAAGAAAATTAACAAGATCAAACAAACACATCAAAATTCTCCATATTCTAATTCTCAGTTCATTTCAATGGGCAGAAATTAAGATTGAATAAGATATATTTTTAACTAGAATTCTAAGTCTATAAAAATGTTTTGAAATAAATTAACAAAAAACCCCTACGCTAATTCTGTATGTTGTAGTTACTCAAACACTAAGTAAAATATAGATGATTTTTTTATCTTTGCAAGAGGACATGGCCACCCACAACACAATATAAATAATACAATCAAGAGATTTGTAAGAAATTCACAGAGAATATGTTTCTCTATTTAAAAACCAGAAATTAAAGCCCCAGAACATGTAACACATTCTTATTTCTACTTCTATATTTGGAATATTTTACAAGCATGTATTATTGTAATTTTAAAAAAAGAATTCATATGTACACACATGAATGTAATTATATTTATATACACATGTACATTTTTCATGCTTCATTTCTGAAGGATTTGAAGACCTTACAAAAATAACAAAACCAAAAAAGCAATAGAACTGAAATAACATCATGCAAAAATAGAAAGAGAATCATGACCAAGAAAATAACAAGATTCAAAATAACAAGATTCAAGACTGATCTAAAAAAATGAAAGAGTATCAGTTAATCAAAAAGACCTAAGAATTCATAGGTGAAATGGTAGAAAAAAATATATATCCTTTGTGCCTCATGTCCTATTTTTCACAGAAACTAATTACTGCGTATGGTACATCATTAAGCAAAATAATATATGAACTTCTGTAGTAACAGATTTCATTGAGCATTCTGACAATTCCAAGTGAGTGCTAATGTGTATTTCAAACAGCAGTTTGGAAAAGTTTTTCATATATATAACTACCTGACCAGATTACAAACTGCCTGCTCAATAAACAGAAAAGTTTGCAAAGGAAAGCAAGAATAAACATTTTACAGTAACAAATCCAGAGCAAGTTTTTCTTTTTAACAAGTCATTCAAATATACAGCATTATCCTGACTAGAATATAAAAATATTTCATTTAAAATGTAATATATAAAACATCCATAATTACTGTAAGTCGACTATATAGCTTAGGACTTCATTATATAAAATATGGCTGAAATCTTAAAAAAACAGGAATATTGATTTTAAGTATTTCTGTACACACACATATATGCATGGGCATGTACATGAATGTACAGCCCTAAAAGAAAATATTCTAAAGAAGTTAATATTTATTTTAGAGTGGCAGGATTACTGATATTTTAATATATTATACTTTTTTATATTTTCTTCAATTAGCATGTATTGTTTTATTAATGAGGAAAGAGATTAACAAGGAAATGTGTTTAGAAACAAATTCTCTTGGAAAGATGTCATTAGGTACCTATCAAGTTCACCCAGCAATTCTTCTTGTCTCTCTAGTTCTTCAAGTCGAGCCCACAGTTCCTTATCAGCAAGCAAATCCTTGGATTTTACATCATTTGCAAAATCTGCTTCAAAAATATCTGAAGTTTTTGGTTTGGAGTGAGGTTTATGAGCAATTCGGTGTTTTGCTATTTAAAAAAAAAAAAAAGGAAAGACACGGCTATTAATGGCCAACTTTAAAAAGGCATAAACGTAAACTTAATGAGACTTTCTTTAGAGGAGAGGGGATGTTGAGACAGAGAGAGGGATGGTTTTAAAGGTAAGCAAAGGCAACTCCAAGATGTATCTATCTCATAATCTTGCTACTCAAAGTGTGGTCCAAAGACCAGCACCACTGGTATCCTTGCAGAACATTTCAGAAGTACTGACACTCAGGGCCACCCCAGATCTGCCAAATCACAACCCTGTGTTTTAACAACAGCCCAAGAAGATTCATATGCACATTAAAGACCGTGAAGAGCTACCTGAGAGCTTCAAAAATGCCTAAGTAGAAATGGTCACAAGGTACCCTACTTATAACAAAAAAATTCAACACAAATAATACATATCTTCCATTCTTACTCAAAAGAATTTAGTTACTAAAGTAATACATCAAAGCCTTGTCACAGGATACTTTCAACTCTAAGACACCGCCAGGCATGAATACCCTAGGAGGAATCTATAGAGGCTATCCCTGGGAAGTTGGACTATAATTTTATATATGAACATTTCTACTTTTTAAATTGCTTTATCTTATTTGTAATTCTCATGTGAGGGCAGGAGATAAAGAAAATCTGAACTCAAATCCATTTGCTTTTCATTTGAAAAAAATGGACTTTTTTATAAAGCGTATTATAGCTTTGAAGAAGGCAATGGGGAAGAAGTCTAAAATGCTGTTATGATATGGTTAACAGATGACCTCCACCGTGTATTCAAAAGTAGAACACTGTCTCCTAAATCTGAAAATACCAAAATTGTGTTTCATGGCCTATTATTCTCTGTAACTATCATTGATAAAGCAGTATTAGCAAGTTTCATATTTCAGCCCTGTAAAACACAAAAATCTTTCACTGGTCACCACAAACAAAAATTGTAACTTGTCTTTCTGTTCTTTAACTAATGTATGTCTCCTTTATTTCACCTCCTAAAGCCACCTGATACTAATTTTGATGCCCTATTAGTAGAGATAGTATGGCTAGAATATGGCTTCTAAAATTATCTCTGTTTCAACCAATAAGTTCTCTTCAGAGTTAATTACTTAAAAAAAATGGATTTTAAAAAATCAAAATAATGTTAAAAGTAACAGTTTTCTATAGCAGCAAATTATAAACCATTTATGTAATATTTTTAAAAATTTCACTACTGTAACACGTTACAACTGACTGGGAAATCACTCAGTGCCTTTACTGAAGTAAACCCAAACACATAACCCATCCTTGGCAAGAGAAGGCTGTTAGGTGAGCCTGGGAAACCACCTGTGTCCAGAATGCCACTGCAAGCAACATAAAATGAATGGCTGAAAAATGCTTAGATTATCTTCATTTTTTCTTCCAAAAACACACCTAAAGCTAAACTTTTAAAAGAAGAAGAACTAGCAAAAGATGTATTATGACTCAAAGTCAATGATCAAATTAGGAGCAGACCAGTGAATAGAATATACATCTTCTGAACTTGAGATTATTTGGATCATTACAACTTTGAAGAAAGCCATGTCATCTCACCACTTAAAATAGATCAGCCAGGAATCAAGTTTTTCATCAAAAAGTTATTTCTCTTCTAATGTTTATATTTTAAAATATATTAAAACATATAATGATTTATATCAAAGTTATAAAAACATAATAATCAATGAAACAAATGTTTGTATCTTATGAATTTAAAAGTATCATATAATCCTAATTATCTCACATAAGAGTCCCTGAAAATCAACACAAATGGCAAATATTTAAATAACTAGACATAAAACAATCTTACTGCTTACCTTTAAATTCAAAGTCACTTTTAATTTCTTCTCTTATGTCAACAATGTCACCTGCAGCCTAATTTTTTAAACAAAAAAAGCCCATTAACAATTTGAATCTTCAATACATTAAAATTCTTGTAAGTGCAAGCATACAAACTAGAAAAATGCCTGAAAGCAACTGAAACAAGGGATTTGTTCCAGGGCTTTAAGATTTTTTTCCAACATAAAGACTGTTCTAAAAAAACTAGAAGACTGAAAACAAATACTCACATCACTCATTTTCTGCAAATCTTCTGTGAATTCAACTCTGGATTCAAAATTTTTCATCACTTTTTTTAAATCATCTATTGTTTTTCTTACATCTGAAATAAACAACACAACCATTATGTAAAACGTGGCATATATAAGACCTACAGTACCATTTTAACTATAGTGCTATCATACTGCAAATATAATGACTAAATAATAATGTTTTAGAAAAGACTCTTACCTTATCTTTATTTTCATTTTCAATGGACTTAACAGTATAGTCACACTGTGGGTTTTTTGTGATATACATAGTATGTGACTCTGTTACTAAAGTGTCTGTCTACTAACATTCTTCTCTACATTACAGAATGCAAAATGCGATTACAGATGTTGCATGGTACGACCAAATTCCTCCAGAACCACCACCTATTTGGACTATCACACATAACACATTATTTCACAACAGTTTGTATAAGTTTTATCCAGCTTTATAACAAAAGGATAGAACAGATTGAAATCCGTTATTTTGCTTCTGTACAGAAATATCCCTGAATTAAACAACTGAAAATATAAAATTTTTATGGCATATTATCATCCATTTTCCAACTTTAAATTTTAATAACTGCACAGTAATACAATCTATACACTTTTAATTTCTCCTAAATATCACCCTCCATTAATTTATTTGAAGAAAAAACTTAACTTGGGAATGGACATAAACATTTCTCTATCTAATACTGGACAAATGCAACAAGTAATTCATGTTTCTTGGATTGAAGTAGAAATCTCTGTTATGCAGCCAATAGCACCATCCAAAATACAGGGGATTTCTAATCATAATTATAAGCTGAATGATCTCCAAATATAGAATTTTTTTAAGGACAGGCACTGATAAAGAATAATAGAGAGTAATCTGATACGTCCTCCCCCGGATGCTGGGTGATTTCCTACTGTTTGACAACAGGCACTCAATCAGTAAGCAGCTCAGGAGGGGATGGAGGAGAAAAGTATACAGTCCCTTCTCTGCCAATGTTGAATGTAGGTCTGGCAAAGGTCTAAGCAGTTAAAATATCTTTTAAAAGCATGAAAATAAGGCAGGGTGTTCAAAGTGAAATATCAGCCCATGTGAAGGGCTTTTCAAACGGCACATTTTCTGACACAGCTCTCGTGATACGCAATGCTAGTTTAAATGAAACACCAGCACTTGTGCTCTAGCCATGAATGGGTTACAAAGAAAAGACTGCATTAACCAAATGAAAATGACGGTGTAAACAGTTCATAAAGCCTCGCAGCCCCGATGCCGCTGTAGATCATTAAATTCCTGCAACAATTAGACCTTTTCTCACGGCAGCAAATTGGAGCGGTTGCCATGGCAAATCTGAGCCCTTAAGTCATATATCTTTGATTGCAGAAAGGTCAGACTCAGACAGCCTAATAACTCAAGGAGCTGTTTGACAGGTTTCATCCGAGCATGGTCACAGAACAGCATAAAACTGTGTCGGCAGTTGTTAAAAGCAGGGGGTCAGGGAAAAGGTTAAGGTTATGGAATGTTTTTGCTTCAGTAAACTCAGTCAGATAATGTGTCTAACCAGCTTTAGATCCAAAGAACATGATTTTAGGTAGGAGGTCAAATCAATAACTTTTTTCAAGAAGACTGGAAAATATTAAAAATGGCAGGTAGGTAAGCTAAGTACATTTTTAAAAGTCTATCCACATCTAAATACTGTGCAACTAAGCTAAAGGTATCCCGGGAAGCCTTGGCTTGTCAATGTGGAGAGAACAGATTGTTCATTGAGGCCCTTATATGTTATAGGACTTACTTTCAATCAACTGTTGTTGATTTTAAAGGAAACTCGTCCTAAGTCATACATGTTAGAAAAAGTTGTGTGACTATTCCATTTAAGAAGCTAAAGAATGTTTTATAGAAAGGGTAATTAGGAAAACAAAAGATGTATCACACACTTACATTTCCCTCTTTAAATTGAGAAAAGCTCTTTCAACCATATATTAATAATGAACCACTATCACAAAATTAGGGAATCAGATCTCAAGATCGCGTATTTTATAACAGAATCCCAGAAATAACTCCAGTTACCACCACCACCATCATCACGAATATATTTAATACACAGATGTACATTCTATCTGTGATGTACATTAAACATGCGCAGATACTATTAAGTATACTATGAAAACATCATGTAAGTTCTACGTTCAGAAACAAAAAATTAGATAACTATATAGAAATTTTAAGACAAGCAAAAAGAAAGCTGGACCAGTGCTAAAAAAAATAGCAACAAAAAGCTGGTTGCTCAGAATAAGGGGATAGTGCAGATACTGATTTTGCACAAAATAAATAACAAGTCAAAATAAAATTCATTATCTACAGGTTAGTTCAAAAGAATGATATTAAAAAAAATCAGAATAACTTAATTATGTTTCTTTCTCTAACTCTGAGACTTAACATTATTAACCATGATTTTACATTTTTCACTAAAGCTTTCTATACCCTATTCTCCAAACTTTTTTGTTAAGAGATGAAATAGACGTAGGTCACTAAAAACAAATCATGTAAATAGACTCAATCATTTTTAACATCCTAAACATAACCCAGTTAAAATCTATTAAGCGAGATTTCAAACCACACTGAAATCATAGTGAATAACAACCTGTTTAGAGAACAGAAAATATACTTTTTAATATGGACAATATCTGTACTAGTTTTAATCTCATACAAACATTCTAATAATCAATTGTTCTGGGCAAAAGAAAACTGAAGTTCAGTTGGATCAAACACACATCTGTGAAAAGTACAGAAGAAAGTACAGGATTCCCCCACTATCTGAAACCATAGCATTCCTACGAAAACTTTTGTAAGCCAAAATGGTATAAAGAGAAGAAGCAATTACCATTAACATATAAGGAAAAGTTTTTGAGTATTCACAGACCTAAAAAATAATCTATTAGGCTTTGCTCATGCCTTAGGACACATCTTGCTAACAAGATAAAGTACGCTTGCCCACAGAGTCCAAAGCTATGGTGGCTTGACGCTGAGTATCATTCCAGGGAAGGTGCTTGAGGGTGTTTAGGGTACATGCTGGCCCTGTAAGGCTTGCTGCAAAATAAGCACTTTTAAATGCTATTTTTGCTTTTCACCTTTCTTCATAAAAGTGAAAATCCCCTTCAGATTTCTTTCAGTTAGGAAAAACAAGGTACTAACATCAGTCTCTCATACAAGTGAAGTGACTAACACAAACTTTCAAAAAATGGGATACCTGTAACTCCACATATACCAAAAAAAGGTAAAAATAAAAACAACTAAAATTTGAGAAAGAAAATAATTAATTTGGAGGAAAGGAGAACAAAAGACTGTTTTCAAACTGATAATTTTAACTAAAAATTAGAAATCAGATTTTATAGGATTTCAAAAGTAAAGAATTCAATACAGTCATTACTTGTTCTGCTGACAAAACCAGGCTGCATGTTATTTCTGCACCAAGTATAACGTAATATTTTAAAATCTTCACTAATTCAGAATATATAGTATAATTTGTCCAGAACTAGCTGAGATTCTTTGCACCAACTATGAAAAGGGAGACTGAAAGCAAACTAATAGTGCAAATGCTAAAGACCATCTTTAAACTAGAAAAGAAAATCTACAAGCTCTTAAAAACTTGAGCAGAATCATTTTCATCTAAGATAAATGATATACACTATTCACTAAGTAGGACCAAATATTTAGAAATATTTAGTTTACAGCTTGTGGAGTTATATATATTTGAAAGGAACAAAGTTATGGATGTAATAAAATTTACAAAGCCTCAATAAAAGTTACAAACATCATTCATGAAAGCGGTCTTCTTACCTAGCCATATACTCATATGTACTAAATAGGATCCAGTCTATAAAGACAACTCTCTTCTGAATCCTTTGTGACCACTCCATTCTCAACCTTCTGTGTGCTGAAATTTTTCAGTATTCTTTCAATGGTTTCAATAGGACATGCCCCCCAGTGGAAATGCTCACAAATGGAAATGCTCTGTACAGGATCTCTCCTTAAACCAGTTCCAAGGTTTATACTTCTGCTTTAACACAGAGATTGAATTCATGCACTTCGTATTTACTTTTTCCCCATACCTCATTAAAACAACACTTAAGTATTTTTATTAAAGGCATAAAAGACAAAGCTAATGGGAAAAGAGAAAAGAAATGACAAGTGATGTCAACCAAGTTTTGGAAACTGGACAAGCGATAACTGACTTTGTTCAAAAGAAAAAGCTGAACCCTAACTGCAGCAAGGGAAAGCGGCAGCAAGTCAGTTTGGGTTGTCAGACCTGGAAAGAATTCTCTTGGAAATACTTCTGAATGAAAGCATGAGCTAAAACAAAGATGTGAATCAAAGTTTGAAGAGAATGGTTAGGTTCCAAACCCCACCCCACAAAGCACAGCCACATAATTTCCCCTTTTCTTGACCAAACAAAGGATTTACAGCCTAGAGTGGTTTGCAAGGACTCTGAGAGGGGTGATGAACACAGGCAAAAATAAGAAAAGTCTTACTAAAAACAGTCCTGAAACATCTAGCCTGATTCCCAAAACACTAAGATAAAGACTAGAAAATTCTTTTGTAGGATGCTGATTAAGCCCCAAATGGCAGATTTTTGTAGATTCCTTAATAAAACAAAATCAGTTTGCCATCTGAACTCTCTGCATAAAAGACTAATAAGAGTACTTGCCTCTTAAGTATAAATGGTTAGCCAAGGATCACCAAATATTTTAAGAGTTTTCACTATTAATGTCAAAGAGGAAGAAAGGGAGGGAGGGAGGGAGGGAGGGAGGAAAAAATATAAAAAGCACCACAGAGGAAACAAAGGCAATGCATAAAGAAAACTTTAAAAGAAAAACTCTAATTCCTAAAAGAACAGTATTGTACTCATGAAACAAGAACAGTATGCTACACCAAAGGAACATTCAAAAAATAACAACAAAACAAAAACACAGAGCTCCTGGGAATTAAAATATACAGAAATTTTTTAAAAATCCACATCCAAATATAAAAAGAAATCACTTCAAAATTTGTAAGACAAAGAAATGAATAACAGGAGAAGGAAATTAT